ACTGTTTATCACACGGGCTTGAGAACTTCGGAGAATTTCTGGTCTCTGCGAGGGCCGCTAGAATTCGAATGGACTCAAAAGCGGTAGCTTTGGTTGGGGTTAACTTACACAAAGACAAACGTGGTGTATTTGTTTTTCGAACTGGCATGCAATTGTAAGCCAATTGAGAATTCCCAAACTCCCCCAAACGCACCGCATTTAATGTCTATAAAGTTGTAACGTGCCTGCTACAGATTTGACTTGGATTCCCCACGGCCGCGCTTCCCCCTCCCCTCGGGACAGGGTGTCTCAAACTCAGGAGGGTTGAGTTGATCCTTTTTTTTTTTTTTCACGCCCACCATCAAATCATGAACCCACGCGAAGATTTAAAAGAGTTTAATATAAAAGCCTGTCCCCAAGTTTCCAGAGACCAGACCGAGAGCGGTCCCGTCGGTCTCATGGGTGCGCGTCTCTGGTCCCAGCGGGTGCATCCCGCGTGCGAAGCCCTTAGCTCGGAGACTCGGGAGCAGGGCCAGGACCCATGCGGGGCGTGTGGGTGACGATCGGGGGAGGAAAGGGTGATAATAGGGGGTGGGAAGATGCAGGCGCGGGACGTTGGCGAGGCCCGCACCTGTAGCCTGAGCGAGAAGAGCCTCACCTTGCTGTGGTCTTCCTCCTCCTCTTGTTGCAGCAACCCGGGAACCGCGGCCATGGCGACGCGGGTCTCGAGAAGGGGCTGCCTTTGCCTGGCTGGGCGAGGAAAGAAGAAGATGGACGGCAGTCTGGTCGCCTCTCGGAGGCGGCCGCGGTCCCGCCTCCGCTGGCCCAGAGAGACTGAGGCGGGAAGCCTGGGGACCCCTCCACCATCCCAGCAGCCCCGGGAGCAGGCGAACAACGCGCCACGTGCTCCCCCAAATCGCCTCCCCCGTCCCCGCTGTCGCCCATCTAGGAGCCGGGCACAAAAACAACGCGGGGCCTACCCTTGCTCTGCACCGCGCAGACACAGCAGACCAAGGGCCAGAGCCCAGGAACTGTCTCTAGCAGCCACCCAGCCCGCAGGGCGCGTCGCGAGAAAGAGCGCGCTCCCTTGCTGGCGGAATTTATCCCCCAGCCCAAGCCCAAGATGGCGACGAGCGGTGACGTGAGATCTCGCGAGAGTGAAAGGGCGCGCTTTATAGGCGCCCGCACTTCCTCCGGAAAGAAAGTAGGTGAACTATGGCCTGGCGACCGCGCGTGCGCGCCGCAGTGCATGCTGGGGCCGCCGAATGTGGGCGGGTCCTATTTCAGGAAGAGAGCGTGGAACCAATGAAAGTAAGTGCCGAGAGGATGTTCGTGGCCTGGCGATTACGTGATGCGTTCCACACCTGCCAAGTCGCAGCCTTGTGACTTTTGAGGTACCTATTCCTGTCGCGGGGACTCAACTTCTCCTTAAGCCCTTCTTTCCTACCCCTGACTTCCCCCACCAAGTCTTTACGGGAACCAAAAAAAATCAACCTTTCTCCCGTGGAGCGGCTAGTGGTTTTGAACTACTAGCCTTGTGATTAGCAGCCCAACCCTAACCGCTATGACACGAACTCCGCCTACCACCCACCTTTAAAGATGTTTAGATGTAAGGAGAAAACCCCATTCAGAATACTTAGTAACTCACTGTCACGAGTTGATTCCCATTCAAAGCGGCCCTATAGGATAGGGTAGAACTGCCCCTGTGGGTTTTATCAGTTTAATATCTGATACGCCCTCTATCCAACACCGTCTTTTCGGGATTAAATAACTTAATCTTTCTCCCGAGGACTTTGTGGTTAGCAACCTAATGCTTAACCACTACCCCAGCCGGCTCGCTCTAGCACAGTGGTTCTCAACCTTCCTAATGCCGCGTCCCTTGAATACAGTTCATCACGTTGTGGTGATCCCCAACCTTGAAATTATTTTCGTTGCTACTTCGTAACTAATTTTGCTGTTATGAATCGTCATGTAAATATCTGATATGTCGTATGCAGGATGTATTTTCATTGTTACAAAGTGAACATCAAAGCATAGTGATTAATCACAAAAACAGTATGTATTAGATATTGTGAAATATTTATTTCTAATTACAAATTAGAAATAATTTGTAATTATTTCTTGAAGCATGGGGTAGCATGGGTTACAGGCTTCACGCCCGGTACTCACTCGTGGACGTATCTGCATGTGGG